ATGGGTTACATAGGAGTTAGACAGTCCTATTTGGTCAAATACCAAGTGACAAACTCTCACATTCCTTCCATTACGGTATCTCCAAGCAAGTTCTTGGATTCTTAGTTATTATCAATGAAAGTCATACAAAATATTTTTTGAGAATAAATTGAGTTAATAATATAGAACCTCTTATTGCTTTAGCAAATACTTCCAATAAAACTCATCAATCGATCCAGAAATAAGCACCAACTTCATTAAAAAAAATCAAAAAATCAAGGTCAATATTTTATTTATGTCTAGCAATTAAAAAATCAAAATCAATTTTCAATTTTTATCTAAGGCATATGTGTGTAACAGTGAATGACAACCGACTCTGTCTATAATGAGCTACAAATGCTCTCATATAATATTTAGTTCTAGATACTCAAAATTCAAGCATAGTTTCAAATGTAGGAAACAACCAACAAAATTGGTGTCATCATGAAAATGGCTTCTGGGGTAGAAAAACCCATGATGTCAGTGTTATACAAGTTACATAGCTTTGATTTATATCATCCTACATAGAAACATACCTATAACAACTAATCCTAGCATTTTATCCATTTTCATGACCCCAAAACCATCAAAACCTGTAACTCTTTATACAAAGAATTTGAGTGCCAGTCCAAACTACAGTCAATGCTTGTAACCAGCATTTGAAATGACAATTGAATGACAATTCATGACAATTGATACACCACCAATGGGATCCCAAGTTTTCAATCATAATACATAGCCAAGCACTAAAAGATCTATGATAATGTTTGTTTTAATATTTTGAGGACTATATACTCAAGTGAATTGGCTTTTAATCAAGTGGCAAACGTAGAGTTCACGTCACTTTTAGCTAAAGTTCAAAATTCCTGTAAATTTTAAACACCGAGAGGGACTTAGCAAAATTATATGAGAGAAAGAGGGACTTAGATAGCATGATAAATTGAGAAAGAAATATGACTTATTTAGTAGTAGATTGTGGATGAATCTCTTTCTTTTTCTTTGAAATGTTTTTGTTGTTGGTTTTTTTTTTTTCCTTCTCTCTCTCTCTTCCTTTGTGATGTTGTTCTTTGTTTTAGCTTTCTCTTCCTTTGCAATTTCTTTTTTTTTTTTGATAAGTTTTCCTTTGTAATGGTGTTCTTTGTTTGTAGTTTTCTCTTCGTCTTTGATTTTTTTTTTGAGATGCAATTTTTTTTTCAGGGAATGTGTTTTCTTGAAGAATAGGTTTTGTATTTAACTTTTTTGAAGAACACAATTTTTTTGGAAGTTAGGAATACTTTTTTTTGCAGTGAAGTATCTAAACCTTTTTTTTTTTTGGGTTAATTTAAATTTTTTTGTTACCAAAAATTATGTAGAATCCAATCTATAGAATATTGATTGAATTCTAGATAGTAAAATTTATCATATATTTATCTTAAATCAATTTAGTAAAGTATCTCACTAATTATTTTTAAAAACATAAAAGGACTAAAGATACAGGAAGTTCCAAAATTTAGGAAGTTCCAAAATTTAGGATACACAAAAGAAAAATATGAAAGTATTATGAAACGTTTGTTTTTTTTTTTAAAAAGTCCAAAAAGAAGGGATATGAATAGAAAGTTCCAAATATTCCTATTTTAGATGTACAAAAAAACTACGAAAAGTTTTTTTAAACATTTTTTGCCTTCAAAAAGTCAAAATAGTGTTAGGATTTAAGAACCCTCTCACATGCAGAAACAAGAATTCCAAAAGTTGGATCCTACCAATATCGTGTACTTATCCAGCTATAAATAAAATATGAGAGAGCATAAACTATAATACGATAAATAAGACATGAAACACACATGTCACAAGAATACAATGATTTACGTGGTCACCCAAGAGGGCTACATCCGAGTACGGCAAACTGAAATCCACTATACCAATAAAAGTTACATGATAGAGGACATAGAGTTACTTTTATAAACCTCGATAATCGGTACCATCATCGATTTCTCATATCTATTCCACTACTAAACCACTGCCTTGGAAGCGACAATTTTCATTCCACAACTAAACCACTGTCCAAGAAGAGATCATCTCCATTTCACGACTAAACTATTGTCCAGGAAGATAATTTTAAGAGCAACCGAGACTTTCTCTCATTAAAAGGGGAAGCCACCCAAAATCTCCATGGGAATTGCTTTCTCGCAACATACAGAAGGTATAACGTAGAGTTTCTCTCCATATTAAGCTTTATTCTCTCTAAGGGGAGGCCTTGCCTCTCATGCGTAGGAGGGCTATGCCTCTTTCTCTCTAGAGGAAGCCACTTTTGCTATATGGTGACTCAAATATGGCACATAAATTTTCTGCTCCTTTATCATATATATATATATATATA